CAATAAACCAAGCTGAGTCACCCTGACAGAACATGTTGACCATGTTACACTGAAGCAATAAAACTGCTCAACTCTGAAAGAAATCAAATATTTGGGTGGAAAAATGGTCAAAAGTGGTTTTGTTCAATCAACAATGTACTAAAAGTGTCAAAATTTAGATACAATCCACAATAATTCATCGCTTAGCAAATCCAAATCAAACATCTGTCACGGTGGGATGTCACCAGACTGATTTCCAGCTGTGGTCTGAATTAACCAGAACTTGAATCTGGAAACACAGAAAACTGCTGATAGCAGAGCGCCAGATTTGAGGAAGCACTTTAGGTGAAAGCGAGCCTCGACATCAGACACGAGCACTTCACGCCTCACAAGCAGCAGCGCAGCATTAACTGTTATTTAATTAACGTGGTTTTAATCCTATCAAAGGGAGAGACTTTGCTTCACCGAGCGCTGAGTGAAAGTTAACCTTGTGCACTGGGCGTTGGATGATGCGACGCCCTCCCTAAGAAGGGGCTCAAACAGCACCGCACAGCAAGGTTTTAGGATTTCAGCTTTTATTCGGATTGCTCGCGTCTTAAAAATCAGATATTTTGAAGTTATGCATTACTTGCTGCAAACATATTGTATATATTCAAATTAAAAAAATGAATGGCATAGATGGATGTCTAAGAAAAGCGTTTTCTTGACGTGCAGTGCAGCAGCCTTCTTGCCAGATGGACTTGTCTTAATATAATTTACACAACCACACCCAAGACTCATTACACAACCTGTGTTCAGCTCAGCTGAGCTCTTCCCTCTTTGGCATTTAACTGACATTCTTGTTAATCCTTCAAAGGCAACGAGACAGAGTTTCACTGAGGTAGAAAGCCGGCAAGTGTGTGTGCGTTTTTGTGTGTAGATGCGTACAATTATGTCAGGATGTAAAATCTATTGTTGCATTATTCATGACAAAGCTTTGACTGATTGTGTTTTCTACAATAATGTGCCAAAGAATGGCCCCAGCCATGTTTATCAATGAGGACACAACAGCTTTGTTCGTGGGTCTCTACGTGATAAAGGGCAGGAGATAATTACAGGTGCACATACCATCGAACCTTTGAAGAAAATGTCACCAAGGAGCACGCTGACTTGTTTTTTTATGAAGCTGCTGGATGACATCTCAGGGGCTTGATGAGCAGCTTTAGCAAAAATATATTTTTTTAACTGACTGAGGGATGATAATCAATTTAAAATGTGTTGCATCATCTTTTCTTAAGGGCCAATGTAATGTGCTAGACATATGCATTATCTCCATCCATCCATCCATCCATCCATCCATCCATCCATCCATCCATCC